CTCTCTCTCTCTCTCTCTCTCTCTCTCTCTCTCTCTCTCTCTCTCTCTCTCTCTCTCTCTCTCTCTCTCTCTCTCTCTCTCTCTCTCTCTCCCGGCCGCACCTGTTTGCTGTTACTTTTCATTTTCGTCGTCGTCGTTTTTTGTTGGTTTTTTTTTCCGGCCCCGTTTTTTGGGGACTACCGGTCGCACGCCGGTGGGTAACCCGGACGACGCGGCGCGTTAACGGCCGCGTCGAAATCTTCAAGCAGGGAGAGGTACTGGTGGTTTAAGCAGGTCCCTAAAGCAACACAGCAACCCAATCTAACTCAGCGGCCAACTCATCAGGCAGTAGGTAACACAAGATCTGTGCCATGCACGTGCGCGTGTGTGTGATGTCATGTTCTCGCTACATTGAACAACTTTTGCCTCAGGGTCACACTGAAATCCTTTACCAAATGTTAGAATAAACTGTAGAACTTGTGGAGCAGATGATGAGATTCTGAAGAAGGATTGTAGTCTCGCTGAAACGGTCGAGGCCTTAGCTTTGCCTGGCCGGAAAGCCTCCCTCAGCTCATAGCTGCAGCGACTCTTGTGAGGGACGTCGGGCCTGGTTCCAGGGAAATGTTAAATCAAGTGGTCCTGGGCCACTCTGGTAGCCTAGTGTGTACATATATATGCGGCCATGCTGTTCCTCTAGTGCCAGCGGCATGTCTCGACTCTGGAGTGTGTTTTTTGGCTGTGACGGACCTCTATTTGTTTCATGGGTGTTTTGCTGGCTTGTGATGGGGTGTGAACCGACAGTCTGTAGAATTTTTTTTATATCCGGTGTGGGTGAGTGATAGTCTGCTTTGATTTTCGTAACAGGTACCTTGCGGGCAGTGGTTGGTGGTCCCCGCCACCTCAGAGGGGTATCAGTTGCCGGACAGTCGTTGATGCTTAACCAAAGCTGGGGTTAAGGTGGGTTATCACTTACAGTGTAATCAGTTAGGGGATTCCGCAGACTGTTGAGGGTTCAGCCTCCTGATGAGTTGGTCGGTGAAACTCCGACGAAACAGTGTTTGTCACAGCCCCTTGTTTACCGTAGGCAGAGAGGGAGCAGAGGATATACATGGTAGCCAGTGGCCGAACCCAGACGCCCAAACGCTCGGCCCCCCATGTAGACATGTTATGCCGTTCAGGCCGAACGCAGACCCGAAGAAAAAAAAAAGCAAAAAAAGATTAAAAAAATGTTATGCAGAAATATAAACTGAACAACATTTGCCTCAGCGTTACATCCAAACTCAATACCAAATTTGAAATAAAAATAAATAAGGAAAACAAATAATAATAAGAAAAATAAGAAAAGTTGAAAAGAGAATTAAAATTAGTGAGTGGGCGAGCACGTTTTGTACACCACCGTCTTCGACGATTGTTTTTTTTTTTTTTTTTGGCTTAGTCGAATACCCTGAAAATTAATAGATGTGTATTTCACACGATGCAAAACGCCACAAAAAAAAAAATACTGAAAATTCAAAATTGTTTAGGCCCCGAAATAAATTGAAAACAAAAAGTGAAAAGAGAAAAAAAATAACAAATAGTGAGTAGGCGGGCACGTTTTGACACCGCCACCTGTGGCAATTTTTCATTTTGTTCTCGCTTAGCAAAATGCCTTTAAAATTCATAGGCATGTAACTCACATCACAAACAACTCAGGAAAAAAATAATAATAATAATAATAATAATATTTCAGCCCCGAAATATTTTTTGGCGGGGGCTGAACCACTTCAGGTTTGGACCCCGAACGGCCGAATGTTCGGGGGTCAGCCCAGTGGCCCCCAACGTTCGGCCCGATAACCCTGTATATAAAAACACTATATATTGCGTCAAACAGAGCTGCCTGGTAAACCATAGGCAGAGAGGGAGAAGAGGACAACAAACGAGGGGCTGTGAAAAACGGTTTCGTTGGAGTTTCACCGTCTCAATATATATATATATATAAACTCCGACGAAACAGTTTGTCACAGCCCCTCGTTTGTTGTCCTCTTCTCCCTCTCTGCCTACGGTTTACCGGGCAGTTCTATTTGACGATATA